CTGAACCCTTCATGTCTGCCCTTGGCCCGTGGCTTAAGTGGTGCATCTGGGTTGCACGGTGGCTTCGCTCGGTCTGCTGGATGTATCAGTGACAAAGTACAGCTGTTGTGCAGCTCTCAGTAGCCTCAGTGACCACCACCTCCTAGAAGTACTGTTTCCCAAACCTGATGTTTCAAACAACATTGCTTTCTAAATGCTTGCAGGTTTTTAAATGTTACTGCATCCTTCTTTGGAAATATGTCGTACCCGGAGGGGCCTGGAAGTTTTTTTTTTTTTTTTTCTCTCGAGTGCAATTTTAGAATTGCAAAATCAAAACGTGTCCAGCAGGCCTGGGATGTCTTTCAGGTCAGCGGGTGCTTTGCCCAGTGCTTTTGTGGTTGGTGCCTCTGTTTGGTGAAGTTTGCTTGATGAGGTGGTATTTGTTTGAATACTCATTATTTACTTGAATGACGATATTGTCTGGAGGCCTCAGTTGATACCGGAGCATTATGTGTACAAATGCAGGATTAGCCCAAATAATCTACAATAGAAACAAGGAAAATACAAAAAGAGAGGAAAGGTGAAATAGTGTATTTGTGAATATAGGCTAGCAACCTTGAATCTGTATTCAGTGCTTTATCACTAGACCATTCTTTTTGATTTTAAGGTATTTTTAGTCTCCCAAAAAAGACATTCCTAGCCCACAAAGGTGTGTGCGGGCGGCGGAGTTTACTCCGATAGGCCATCTCGGAAGGTTCTCTTGAAGGTCTGTTGTACCAGTCCTACCAACAGATAAGGAAATCTGTGCATTCATCTGTACCTCCTGGTACAAGCTGCATAAAAGATGATAGTCACTAGGATTTGCTAATTTGCAAATTATGCATTTAAATCCCTTTGAGCATGGTTCTAAAATCGCTCCTTGCATAACACGCAGGCTGCATTTGTTAGGGGAGTGCTTCATGGAGACACAGGCACAGAATTACGTGGATACATAAGTAGAAAGAATGAAAGGTCAGATTTCACGCCTGCTCACTTTGATAATGCTGCTGTCCCATCAGACATTCAGAGTCACCTTTGGGGCACCTTCCAGGGCCCCAGATATGCAGAGGCAACGCAAGCTGTTGGAGCAGTTTTCCTGCCCTTGATGAAACCTCGTTTTAGCTGCTACAGTTTTCAGAAGAGGCCTCCCATTTGAATATAATGTGACAGTAATAACAACCCAGCTATGATAGTATAACATCTGTCCCCAAAACATAGTCCATCCTTCAGCTCTATAAAAGCAAAGCTTTCGTAATAGATCATTTCCTTCTTCACCGAGTTCCTTATTTAGCCTCTGAGTTCCTTGGTTTGTGAGGGTAACCAAAGCAGTAGTTGTGCAGGCAGACTGCGTTTTGTGTTCCCATGATCTTATCTTTGCTAGTCATAACAGTGAGTTGAACGGTTGAGGGGAATCTCCTTCCCAGCGGCAGACAGGCCTTGCAGGGAGGTAAGAGGTAGGGGCTAAAACTATTAGATGTCTGCAAATATCAAATATCTTAGAAGTTAGCACCTATTATAAAATTAATCCAAAACCAGACTAGATTTTTAGTTGACAGAAAAATCTTTATTTGTAGAGAAATAACTAATTGGGAAGTCACACTTCTATTTCTGGCCTCTGATTAGAAGGGCATAACTTTGAAAAAACGTTGTCTTGCGTCTGAGTAACCTCCATCCCAGCATTACAGCCTCCAGACAAGCGGAGGGTGATGGACGTAGACAGTTTTCAATATTTTCCTTTCATATTCTCTACACCTCTTTTCTACTTAAACTAAACTAAACACTTAGTAACTTACACTAAACTAAACACAAGTAAACCTACACTAAATACACTTCTACTAAAGATTAAAATCAAGCTATAAAAATGTCTTGTATTTTCCACAACCTGTAGGTGAGATTTGTATCCATTCTGATCATGTGGAAATGTACACCTATGCTTAGAGCTGTTCTTTCCCTGTATTCCAATGTGTGTGTGATTTGCAATTCCTGCTAAACTCCCAGTGGAAGCTAAGCTGTGGCCTCCAGGCCTCAGGAAGTGTGCTATCTATCTCATTGATGCTCTTTTTTTTTTTTTTTTCACCCCAAATGTTGGTTTTATTTCTGCACAGTGGGGAAGATGAGATGAGAGCAACTGTTTGCAGTTGGGTTTTTCTGTTGTCTGTTTGGGTTGGGATTTTTTTTTTTGTGGAAGTGAGAGAGAAAATAATTTGAAAGCTTGTTATCTAATGCTACATATTATTGCTGATAAATGCTATCTTTGCAATGTGATAGATAAATTAGTGGCCATCCAGCTACTCAGCCATGAGATCATGATTAGCCGCACTACCATGTGTAGGGCGAAACAAGAAAGGATGGAGGGTCTCCAGCACAATAGGATATACTGGGCAGAGATAGATCACTGTCTGGAAGGACATGGCATGGGTCTGAGGGAGTCTCAACACTGCTTGTGGTTCTGCAGCCATGAAAATCAAGAGCCATAACTGTAGGGACGCAGATACCCCAGCTTGGTTTGGCTCCCATGTCCTCCATGTGTTGCTGGTGGTGGTAGGTGAGAGGAAGATTGACATCTTGATCAGTTCTTGCAGCAATTTAAAAAAAAAAAGTGTCTTGGTCCACATGAAGCAAAAAGGCGGGCACCAATGATGAGACTGTTTTGATGTCGTTTTGCTTTACTTATATGCACGTCACACCCAGAAGCATTGCAGCAATGTACTTATTTCATAACCACATCCAGCACAGCTCACACTACAACAATCAGGACACCCCTTATTTCCATACTTACACTCTTTTCTTTTCCTTGTTGTTTAGCCTATGTATTTTATATCCTACAGAGAGTAAATCTCAGGGATTCCTCTGTGTCTTCATCATGATTGCCAGGTCTCCCCTCAATAATGCTTCACTAACTTCCCTGAAACCATCTGAAGAAGGGCCTATTTTATGAAAATGGTGTTATGAATGCATGAAGCATTCATTTTATTTTTATAAATTAGCAGCAGGGATTCAGGGCTGTAAGGAACTCTGCCCTGAGCCAACAAAATATTTGAGCATGCCAGGAGTCTCACCATAGGGTTAAGATGCTCAACTTTGCACGTTGCAGATCAAGTCTCATGTGAACAACATTTTTCCATTCTTTGTCACTCATGAGCAGGTGTTTCACAAGCCTCCTTTTGCTCATGGCTAGGATAGGCTTCCAGGCCTCCTGGTAGGAGGCTAGGATTGCCAGTCTTGCCAAAATCATGGCCTGAGTTGGAGATTTTATTCGGCTGATGTTAGTGTGAGCGGTGAGAGAGTCGGTGGAAGCGACTGTGTCTGTATCCGATAGGCCTGGTGCTAGAAGGTGACAAGGGGAGCAGAAGGGAGACAAGCCCAGCATGTGGAGAGCTGCAGAGGAAGAAAGGGTGCCGAAAGGGTCTCTCTGTCCTGCAATGAAAGGAGAAGTGAGGCTAAAGGCAGCAAGGGGAAAGCCAGCAAAACATCGCAGCCTGGTCTGGCATCTTCTTCCTCTGCTGGCTGCCTGTTTGCCTTCTGTCCCGTGCACAGCTGCACCAAGCTCCTTCTCCTCCTCCGCAGTGCATGGAGCAGAGCAGTTCCTCTACTATTTTGCCCTTTGCAACTTTTTGTTGCGCTTTGTTCTTTCCCCCAACCAACTTTTGGCTTCAGTTCTTACAACTCATTGTGCTTTCAGCCACACAAGGGAACTCCTTGTGTGCAAAGGTCCCTCTCAGACGCCCAGTCAACGCAAGAGCCGCTTGAAGGGGCGCTTGTTCGCACGCCGCCCGCGGCTGCCGTTCGGGAGCGCAGAGCAGAGGTCCAGCCTGCGCTAATTAGTTTAAGGACTGCGACTGGCTTTGCAACTGGCTGCTGCAAAGAGTGGGGCTTTGTGCGTTCGCAAATTAGGGTTTTCCAGTCTCGCCGCAGATGGATCTTCCTCGCTAACTGGCTAACAAACCCAGAACTGCTTCTCAGAAGACCTCAGGGACTCCTGTGGTCACCATGCCTTTACTGCAGGGAAGGGCAAAGCCTGCTTTTTGCATCTTCTCTCATCTTTAATCACACTATAAATTTTTGCAGCTGATCTGACAATATAGCTTGTGTACCGTAGATGGGTTTTTATCACATTTTTAAATTTGGTTAGAGAATTTAAGTAGAGAATTTAAGTAGAGAAATTTATAATAGGATTATGAATTTGAATATAAAGTGTAATGCATGCTGTTGTGGAATATGTAGGTGAACAAAGAAGGTATCATCCAGAACTGGCACTTTAGATAAACATTACATGCGGTATCCAACTCTAAATGTAGTCAGATGGTTCTGTGTACTTGGTAGGAGGTTCTGCTGCTTCAGAAATAATTTGCATTTTATCCTAATGGACAGAGTCTGAAACTAATTTTCATGCTTTACAATGGCGAATTGAATATAAATCATACATCTAGATTGCAAGAAAAAAATATTCAAACATGGTAATGCGATCGACTTAATATATACAATTCTGTTAGTAGTATTTTTCAACATTTTTATTGTACATTTGTGAACAACTCCAGCTGAGATAACCAAACAGAATTTTGAAGTTTTATTCTTATCTTTTCTGTGCTTACTTGGGTATTTCACTTGCCCTGCATAACACTGTATTTCAAATGGTTCCCACAAGACCAATACTGTCGATACTTTATTTTCAGCCTTTTGAGGAACCATCCAAATTTAACAGGAAAAAAAAAGGTACATTTTAAATTAAAAGAGTATTCATGACAGGTTTTAATAGAAATATCAGGAAAATAGTCATTTTTTTCAACAAAAACCTCAAACACAGTTCTGCTATAATGACGAGCGAAAAAAAAATCAGTATTTACTTCACTGGTAGCAGAGTAGTCTTTGCAGTCTGGGCTTGGGACACTTTTGTAATATTCTTCAGAGATCCTGTTTCACCTCTGCTAAGCCCAGTGAAGAGACCATTTTGCAGGAGCTGGATCAGGCTCTCAGTGGTAACATCTGTCCTCTTTGTAATTTACACACTGCCATTGAGGTCCCTCTCTGCCGGAGGCAACCCTGAGGAGCCGTAGGAAGTGATGGATTTTTGAAGAGGTTGGGCAGGGTGAGGTGATTGCCGTGGCAAAGAGCAATAGTTAAGGGTTTTGTGAAACAGCCTGCAGCCTGGAGAGGCTGGAAAGGAGAGAGCACCTCTCCATCAGAACGATGGAATCAATCCCCTGTCTGTATATGTTCAGCATTTACTGTTACAGTTGTGTGGGAACCTGCATGCATTTAAGTCCTCTTCAATGTATCTCCTAGCATGGAAACACCTCTTTCTGGGTTTCTGTTTGGCAGTGTACACTTCAGTTCAGTGCTGAGCTACTCCAGTTTTTACTAACCTGAACTGTGATGCACAGGTGCCTAACGAAAATAGGGTAGCGTGTAGTCAAGCTCTATGTATTAAACACAGAGACAGGGTGGTGACATGATTTTGGTTGCATCTCAGTCTATATTTAAAGTTTCTCCCTTTTTTGGGTGTAACTGTCAATGCTGTGCTTCGTGTGCTTCTTTTCTCTATTGCCTCTTATGTGTCGTCTTTCTCTCACTCAGAATGGACCATCCAAATCATTTAAATCCTTCACACCAAATGATTTAAATCCTTCACAATCTTTACAGAAATGTTGTTACTCGGGTTGTTACTCCAGTTGCTTCCACACAGGCAGTATAACTGGCATTTTGGGCAGCAGGAACCTCTCTACTGATTTTTAAGAATTGGAGGGAGCTTTATTGAAAGAAATGAATTTCTTCCCATCAGGGGTGTGATTGCCTCGGGAACACTTAAATGCTAAGAATATTTTTTTTTCCCATGCTAACAATTCTATAAAGATGGATTAGAAACTGATCATTCTTATGTTTTCAATATTTCCACATTTGTCATACATCTGACGCTCTAGAACAGCTGACTTAAGTAATTTTTCATCAGTAGTCCGTCCAAAAAAAAAAGCCAATATGATATGACCGATCCTTCTAAGTGTTGAAATCAATAAAAATAATTTCCTGATAATTGCCTTGTTTTTATTTCTCGTGTTTATCGATTTTCAGTTACTTAGAAGACGATCCTGGCTTGCAGGCTCAGCTACATCCGCAGTAGCTCAGCAAGGGCCATGAACCTGAAAGTGCCGAAGAGCCGTCGGGGGAGCCTTGGTGTTAAGAAGCAGCCAGACATCAGCCCAGGCTGCTCTGCTGCTAACAAGCGTGGGTGAAAGCAGCATCGATCACCCGTGTGCAGCACCTGCGTGGCTCCCTACCCCTTAGGAGGTGGGCTTGTCATGGCAAAAAGTGCAGCCCACGAGGCAGGAGGAGCACTGTATGTAGGGTTTCCTTCAAAAAATAAAGGAGGGTCATCTGCCCTCAAAAGATGATGACCTGCATCTGCTGATGATGAGGAAATGGTAGCAACCATTCCACATGAGGAAATGGTAGCAACCTTTTTTACAGACTACTGAATATGTCCTTTCTTGACAAGATTTGCCTCTGCCTCTCCTGGAGATTTTGTTAGCAACTAAGATTACATTTCAGTACATGGGTAATTATTGGGATACATATAAATGAAAGCAATACAGTTAATCTGTTAATCAGAGATAGAAATGCACAGCTACTACACAGTTGTGAAGCTATTACAAATGTTATAAAAAACACTACAATTTGGTGCTGAAATAATATGGCTAGTTTACCATCCGTGAAACTCCGACTTGAACTTCTTATTGGATCACAACAAGATCACGTGTTTAACTCAAGAACAGCATAACTTCAGCCAAGGCTCTTTTTCCAGGGTTTCTTCCCCTACCCATCCAAGCTTTCTGTGGGCTAGAGAATGATCTCTGCACCTGTAGTCTTCCCTTTGGTCTCCTTGGCTCCTCGCTGGTTGTTTTCTGTATCCTGTTTTGTTTCCACTGAACCGATTTCATTTGGACCGGGTGTCTCTTCTGTCGCGATAATTTCCTCTACACGTGGCTTAATAAGATCTGATTTAGGAGAAGTAATAACAGTTCTCACATGTTTACTATATTCAGTTTAACACAGGGGTATGTAGACTAAGATTTTGCTTTGGCGCTTTTTGTGACCTTACTATGTTCATTTCCTCTTTTCATTTAGAGAGATTCAGCATTACAAATTACATTACCATTTTTCATAGAGCAAAAAGCAAGCCCAGGTCTTTGTGGTCTCTATTTCAAGAGATTAACAGCAAACATCCACTCACATGAATAATTGTTTCTTGTACAGGTCACCACATTTACAGGACTGCTCAGAAATAGCCAGTTACCCACCCCAGTAAGGCAGGAGAGAAAGAAATGCAGCCAAATACTGCTTACTGCCTTAGGAGAAGAAAGCAGGGGGAATAAGACTATAATATGGTCTGTCAGTAGTGTCATAACACATGCATAACCTGTTTATAAAGCAAAAATACTGAGTTGGGCAAAGATATATAAAACATATGCTGAAAATGTTGGGATTTTAGCCTTATTTGGAGTTAAAATGCTGTGCACAGGGTAATTGTGAAGAATAAATCAGTGTCCAAGCAGTTATATAATAAGTGTCTAAAAGAGCAGTAAAACTCTGTAATAGACAAGAAAGCTGAATTGCCAGAGAGTTTTTCTTTTTACTTTCTTTCTTTCTCTAAATTGAGCAGAGAAATGGTCACCTGTAATTTCAACTTTGCCATTCAGCACAGAGGTAAAAATAAGAACGATAGACTCTTCTCACGTAGTAGCTGTAGGTTTTCTAGAATGTTTGGCTAATACAGTCCAAAATCAGCAAAACCTTTTTCTGCCTAAATGAGTCTCCCTTTGGAAGAGCACTCGATCTGTGTTTGTACTGGGTCAGGAACTCCTCCCTTGGGACTGAGAAAATTGACAGTATTATTAGGGCTTCTTAAATTGTCATCGTTCAACCGAGCCAAGGTGAGAACTTGTAACCCAGTGAAATGTTGATTTAAAAGTGTTGTTTTAAATCTCTTTTGCTGAAGTTTAGACAGGCAATTTGTATTTAGCATTTGTTGTATATTAAGAGCACAACATAAATTCGATTGTTTGGGACCCAGGAAGTAATGATCTGCAGACTACCACCTGCATAATGTTTAACAGGGTTTTTGTTTGGAGCAGCAGTCCATAAAAGTGAAAGCTTTCTTACCTTTCTTACCTTCCTTTTTCTCTTCTTTTTCCTGTTTGCTTGTTGATCTTTTCTTTTTAGCTACAGTTATATTATTTGGTTTATGTCCTTGGGCACTAGCTGCGTATTTAGCCATGTCAGTCTGTTCTGACATAGAAATCACAATCACCTGAAGCAAAGCAAGAACAAAAAAATGCGCAGGCAAGAAATGTGGATGCATCACAAATTTTGTCTGAAACTGCCGTAACTGAATCCCTGGCAGCCCTTCATTCAGAATTTCACTCACTATTTCCCTAACTTTCAGGAATATGTCCATCTCCTGAAGCAAAAGGAACCAGGATCCTCCTCATTATGTGGGAGACAACCCATTTATATAATCCCCCGTAGTTCGGCCAAATGGAGGGAGGTAGAAGGACAAATTTTTGAAGTTAAAGTAGAAGAAACAAACTGCTGCCAAACGAAGGCAGCACACTAATGCTGTGTAATAAAGGTCAGTTGTCAGTTACTGCAAAGAGCAAGTAATATTCTTGTTTGTGCTCTTGGGGATGGAAAACAGATGCGACCCGGTTGCCTCCATAATAAACATCCTGGAAACAAGCTGCAATGACCTGCTGCTTATCATCCTTGGGTTGGTTTCACATCACGCTAAGTGACATTGTCAAATGTTTTGACAACAGTTCTTTAAGCTCAGAAAGTGTGGTATATCTTAAATTACTAATATGTCCATATTTTGAAAATTAAGAACCATTCTTACTTTGTTTAATACACAGCCGTTGTGCTAAATAAAGTCTGAGCTATTTTTATAACTGGGACCATGATTCATTAATGTACATAATTACACACTTAAACCTCCAAATTGTAGTAATCTCATTGATATCTGAGGTATGTGATAAGATCACATGGAAACCTAGCATGTATACCACATATGCGAAATGCTGAAAACACATTAGATTCACATGACTTTATGTTAAAAATCATGCTGATATGAAATCAATTCTGTAAAAAGAAATATGATTTATACCAGATAAATGTAATGTGTCCTTTGAAACCAGTGTATTACTCACACTTGAAGTTAAGTACATGCTAAAATGCTTTGGTAGGTCAGAAATTTGATTTAAATCTGGCTGTTACCAGTTTTGCAATTGAAAGCATTTACTGTAATTATTGTAAAAACACATTTTTGAATGGTTAATATCATAATCATTATTGATTGATCAATAGAAATTGATCAAAGAAATGGATCAAGCTTTATTCAGAAATTGCAAAAAGTCACCATTTTCAACATTGATAACTACGTTGAATGTATTGTTATCCGAGTCACACAAACTGTACTGACTCTGTTCCACTGAGGTTTTTGTTCTTCCTAGAGGTCCTGATTATTTTAGGGCTTTGCAGGATGTTTCTCTTGTGTTTTGAGCACAAACGGGACAAAAAGGCAAACTCGGACTCAGCAAGATTTCAGCTGATTTCTCAGCAGGTTTTGAGTTGACCAGACACTTTGTTCAGCTGAGGAAACCTGGGCTCAGATAGGTTTGGGTTTTGCCGTGCACGTATTCCAGTAGTCTAACTGTTGTGAAAGGACACAGACCTGATTTTAAACACAGCACCAGCAATAATCAGCTCTTAATTTTGCATGGTCTAGAGATTAGGGATTCCTTCTTGCACCCACAAGGCCTTTCACATTAGCTACAACTGACAGTAAGTCTCAGGTGGCAAGGATATAACCGAGCATTAGCTGTGCAGCGCTTACTAG